CATATCATTCAATTAATAATAACGAAGATTCATTGATCCACTCCATAATTTTAATAAAGAAAACGAAAAAAAATCACACACGCACGCACGAACGCAGACAAAACAAATTGCCGGTGCAAATTGAGCGTTCGCGCACACATAAAGTCCCTTTGAGCACGGACCAAAAACCGACACCAGACGGCTCACGTTCGCGGCTGCTCGCGCACAGACAGATTCAGAGTGAGCGTGCGCGCACAGCCGTTTACGCAGGCGCGGAGGATCAGTGTGTGCGTGCTCAGAATCGCTGCACCTTAAGCTCCGAATTTTGACAGGTTAATTCTAGGGTGTAGAGTTCGATAAGAAGGATTTTTCCGAAATTCCTGTTCAAAGGGGTGAAACAGGTGAAACCCCTCAAATATTACAATATATTTTATTAAAAAACGGTCAAGTTTCCGAAAAAACGCTTAAACACGTATATTTTATTTTGTTTTTTACATATTTTAAAATTTTTTAAAAATGTATACAGGGTGTTTCGAAAAATCTGGCCATTGATTAATCACGATCCTGCTTAAAGCGCTTGACGTAAAAAGCTGATTTTTGGAAAACAGATTGACTTTAGGGTGTAGAGGTTCGATAAGAAGGGATTTTTCGAAACTCGAATTGTAAGGGGGTGAAACTATCCCTCAAATATTAAGATATTTTTTATTTACCGCTGAGTTTTTCGAAAAAACTCTTAAACGCGTATATTTTATTTTGTTGTTTTACATATTTCAAGATTTTTTATAAATTTATACAGGGTGTTTCATAAAATGTGACCATTGAGTAATCACGATTCTGCTTAAACTGCTTGACGTTTAAAGCTGATTTTTGGTAAACGGATTTACTGTGGATGTAGATATTCGATAAGGAGGGGTTTCTCAATTGTTTTTTCTCACGCTGATATAAATGTGAGAAAATTTTATCTAGTTTGTATGTTAATGGAATTTCTTGCTTTGCTTTATCATCACCATTACAAATAATGATTAATTCGACGCGAACGCGGGTACAAAAGCAAGCACATAGGTAGTGTTTTTAAATTATTAATGTATTTTTTCACACCTCTTCTTTAATAAAATTAAACAATTAGCTGCTAATTATTAACTGTGTTTTATAACTGTTTGATCATTGTCTTGTTATTTTTCCCTTTTAATAGTTAAAAGAAAGTTTTATAGTATGTTACACAGGGATTACAATTATGAACAATCGTAACGTTCTAGGTGCTAAAAGCTGAAGAAATTTTTGTTTCCTTTTGATTCGATCTTATATAGAGAATTTGAATTTTATGGTAGAATATAAACGTTTTTGAACGTATACAGATGTCTTTGACATCAAACTAAGTTTATTTTACATGTCAGTTTAGTTTGGAGTTCTTCCGAAGTAGATAATATTAGCTTGCGAGATTGGATATCAGTCATAAAAAATATTAATATTTTTTTTGTAAAGTGTTCGGGAATTGAAAGTTTTCTTTTAAATTAATTTAAGATTTAAAGAAACAACAATAATTTGAGATTTTACTGGTTAAAGAATGAAGTTTTCAGCATGAATAAAACTGAGTAAAAAAAGGTTCATATTTTAAATGCTGGTTACTTTGATGGGAAAGCTCCTAGTCAGGTGCTAGTCGGAAATAGATTGAAGTTTTGTAATTACAGTGATATAATTTATATGTTTTTGTAACAAATTGCTCACTATTTTATGACAAATGTTGAAGCTCTGCAAACTGAAAATAAAGGCGCTAATCAAAGCACGATGTGTTACCGGAATTTTTTGGGTGTGGCAACACGACAGGATTGGGCTAAGCATTAGGCAAATTCTGAAAATATAATACTCTATATTTTTCTTCGGCCACACCCCTTTAAAGGCTGATTCATGGTACACCAGGCCAATACCCGAGCCGGGCACGTTCAAATAAAAGTAGACACCGAGCCACGTCCGGGCCCTTCAATATATGCTACACCGAGTTGACAACAGGGATCATGTCCGTGCCGATTTATATTCTAGAAAACAGTGTTGCCGCAGTGGTACATTTGTACCAAATTTGATACTTTTAATTCTATTTGGTACAGTAGTACTACATTTTCAAATCCAGGATGATTTGGTACAATAATTATTTCCCACGCGCACCGAAATTGAATAGATATTTAATAATTATTGTCGTTGATATTGCATTAAACGCGCTTACCGATACCATTCGGAGAAAATCCGCATTAATTAACGACGTATTATAAACGTTGTAATGTCTATAGCGTTGCCTATATTAAATAACCCGAAGAAAAAACTTGAAAATTTACTGTTTCTAACATGCTTCTATATTTGCGTTTTTTTTAAATAAAATTTAAGTTTTCCAAGTATTGTGTGTAGTATTAGAATTACTTAGAATTCTTCAACCTATACATACTTATAATTGGGTTTTCTGAATTTCTATTTCATGTTTTTCGTCTCGATTTGTGTCTTTCTCCAGGAAGTTTTTTTATGTAGAAATTTATGAAGAAATTCACAGCGACCAAACCGGTTAAAGTCATATGCAGATGTATTTTGTTGTGCTTTAAAAAATTGTACCAAAGTGGTACATTTTTAGTTTATAATGTGGTACGCGCTAAAAGTTGGGTGCGGCAACACTGCTAGAAAACAGCCGCTATAGGCCCGTAGACGAACAGAGGCGCTCTTGTCTAGCCCTAGCAGGCATATTAAGCCCGACCAATCACGTTAGAGTTTTTGACAAACACAGAAATGTATTAACACCCGCTAAAAATAATCCGCTAACCAACCTGATTGGTCAAGCAATAATAGTTGACTGCTGGAACTAGACGCTTCTCGAAGTATTTAGCCCGGGCGACTCATTTATGTTTGCCACAACGGGGCCGGACCATGTGGATCGGCGAGGAAAAATGTACACCAGGCATTACTCGGACGGGGCACAGTTGGGTTCGAGCTTGAAGCTCAAGCCCGTGCTCAACCCCAGCATGAATGCATAGGTATAAATAACATTTGACAATGTTTGGCCGATGCCTTCACCGTCGCGGCTGGCCCCGTCACGGTGTACCATGGATGGCCTTACCCGACCCCTGAGACGACCCGAACAGTACAGCGTAATAAACTCTTGAGTAAATAAATATAACATCTTACTATGGCCGTATAGTCTTGGAAGCTTAGGCCGTAAAACCAATCAAGAAAGAACATCTTAGCAAAGATAAAAAATGTTAAAAATGCTTTATTTAACTTTTTAACATGGGTGGCGGTAATCAAAACAATCAAAAAATTTATTCGGCTTAAAATTGTGATTATTGACTATTTAAGCCATTTTCTGTTTGTAGAATTATTGCACAAATGCATCAAAAATATCAATAACTTTAATTATTGATGGGGTGTTAGCTAAAAGCTGTACAAGTTCATTTTCGGTGCAGTTTATTAAGATAACACGACGGAAATCAAAATTAAATCAAATAAAATAATAAATCTCTTTTAAAGTAGATTGATTTATGTTAAAAAGTTAAATAATACGTTTTTTACCTTAAATTGTTCTTAAAAAAATTCATAGTAAGAAAAATTGCATAAAATAATATATTGTGTATCCTAAAAAACATAACTTTTCGTCATTTTAAAATTGACAGCTCTGTAAAAACTAGTTACGCACTTTATTCCACGTGAAAACTCTATAAAACTCACTTTGTCTTTTTGGATAAGTTATAGGTTAACCGAGAGAGTCAATGTAAAAAAAAAAAAAAAAAAAAAAAAAAAAAAAAAAAAAAAAAAAAAAAAAAAAAAAAAAAAAAAAAAAAAAAAAAAAAAAAAAAAAAAAAAAAAAAAAAAAAAAAAAAAAAAAAAAAAAAAAAAAAAAAAAAAAAAAAAAAAAAAAAAAAAAAAAAATGCAAATTTTTTAAATTCGACCTGTATTTCAGGAATTAAGGAGAAGGAGGCATGGAAAAATCTATGTGTAGTATCTTTAGTTTCATAAGTAACACAGTGATGTGAAACCCCATCTTTTGTATCTCTACTCATAAACGAAACCCCATTTAAACCAGGCCAGTAGCGTAACGCTTCAGATGTGAGGCCCCAGGCAAAATTTTTTGGGGCCCTTATATTAAAATAAAAAAGACACACTAAAAAGCCTTAATACAGCATGTAGGTACAGTACGTCTGCTGGATCTGTGTCTTCTATAGAGAGAAATACTGGACCGCATTTAAATAAACAGCAATATATTTTTATACGTCGACTTGACGATACGTCACCGCAAATCGCTTCGCCCACTCATTTTATTGGCTACTTGCAAATTTGTCGAATTTTTATTGATGGGACGCGTCGTCTATTTTTTTACGAAAAACATCGAGAGAATATCGAATACCCCGTAGCTACAGAACGGACAGACGTACTGTATATCAAGTAATTTAAAATATAAAAACACAAAATAAACTTATTCCACATAAGAAAAAATAATAAAAAATAAAACATTATAAAATAAATCAACAAAAAAACAAAACTTAGGTACAAAAGAAAACTAAATAATAAAAATAAATAAACATAGACTTTTTCTAATAAAAATATGATTCAAATTAAAATAAATTAAGAGGAACAAATAAAATGAAAAAAGAAACAAATAAAAATAAGGAAAAAAATATTATGTGTTTAAAATTAAAACATACTACGTTATTAAGGTAACAATGTAGCTTAAAAATTAAATCAAGTCCAAAATATTTTTAATGTTTTCTCTTTTATTTTTGGAAATTGTAGGGGACGCTGTTTACATGTATATGTATTTAATAAATAAAACTGGTGCCCCCACTGATTGCAGGGTGCTGCAGCCTACGCTTCGCTACTGAACCAGGCTATCCAGGATTACGGATCTGTGGCCCGGAATACATCTCTGTGGTGGAGAATTTACATTGTTGCCAACTTCACATGCGACACAGACCACAGATAATAGTTTTGATATTTAGTGACATGTAACATTATTGTATCTATTAACTTTTGTACTCTTTGTATCATAAAAATTTGTAACACGTTTAATTTAACACAAAACCGAATATTTTATTTTGGAAGACATAAATTACCCAGAAATAGTTCACTCAACGTTAAAATAAACCGAACATTGGTCCTTCGAGCCGGATGGTCTCAAGAAGCAAGGAAATTGGTCAGAAAAGCCGACAAGAAGCAAGTGAGTCCCTTTTTGTCCTTTTAACCTTCATTACCGTAGTGAGATCATAATCATTTTGAACTGTAGCTTTGTGGAATTTATTGTCTTTATAGCGAATTAGGTTTAAACCAGTTTTAAACAAATACGATTAAAAACAAACAGCTTATTATCGATATGACAGAAATTGAGAGATTAGTACGGAGACGAGCAGCCTTTAAGGCTCAGATAACAATCCTAAACAATTATCTAAACGAGTTAGAGGGTAAGTTTATAAATGCTAATATAACCGACGATATAATACTTACAGAACTATCACAGCGTAAAGATCGATTTATCAATTTAATTGAGAAACTTGATGAGGTACAATTGCAAATAGAAGAAATTACCACAAATTTTGATGTAGAACTAGATGAACGCACAGCATTTGAATCAGATTTCAATAAAACATTAGCACGAGCAAGGTATTTCTTGCAGAAAAGTAAAACGACTAATATTGAACAAGACAATGATAATCTTTCTTCTCAAAGATCAGAAACGGGTTCTGATAATGTGGCCTTATGTCAAAATTTAAATAACCTCAAACTCCCAGCCATTGAAATTCCTACTTACGATGGTGATTACGATACTTGGCTTGAATTTAGAGACACGTACGAGTCACTAATTCATACAAATGTTAATTTATCTGATATACAAGAATTCCATTACCTTGAGCATTTTTGGGTCCACGTGTAAGAGGGTGCTAGTTTGGCATTTTCTGCTTTAAGTTATAAACCTGCTTAGGAGTAATTTGTAATCGTTTAATAATAGTCGTATCTTAAAAAGCAAAATCATGTTAAAGCCTTGTTTAATCTCAATCTAATTCATGAGAATCATCTCAAGCTTTAAGAAAACTTATTGACAATGTATCTAAGCATTTAAGAGCCCTCACCATTTTAGACGAACCTACAAACACATGGGATACATTGGTAATATATTTAATTTCTATAAAACTAGATAATGAGACATTAAAGCATTGGGAGGAAGCAAAATCTGGTTATGTAAATCCAACTTTAGACAATTTAACCACATTCTTGAAGCATCGAGCAGACATGTTGGAAACATTGGAACAAAGTAAGAATTCTAAACGAGTCATTCCAAGGTCAAAGGGTGACAATAAAACAAAAGCCTTTGTTGCATCAAAACCGTACTGTGTATATTGCAAAAAGGACCATTACATTCAAAATTGTGAGGCATTTGTAAGGTTATCAATCGAACAAAGACGAACACAAGCAATGAAGAATCACTTGTGTCTTAACTGTTTAAGGTTGGGTCATACAAGTAAAATGTGCTATGCAAGTTCCTGTAAAACCTGTAATGCTCGACATAATACCTTATTACATGAAGAACGAGTATCCAGTTCAGAAAACGAACAGACAGTTAATTTATCATCACATATTAATTTTAATGGAGATCAGGTACTTCTTTCAACAGCATTACTAAAGATTTTTGATAAAAATGGGAAATGTCATGTAGCACGGGCACTTTTAGACTCAGGTTCTCAAAGTAGTTTTATAACCGAAGACTTTTGTAATAAGTTACAGTTTGATGTAATACCAACCAAGATAACAGTAAGTGGTTTGAGTGAAGCTCAATCTAATGTGTCAGGAAAGATTTCTATACAAGTACATTCTAAGGTAAACAACTTTTCATTTAAAAATTCTTTTCTAGTTATAAGAAACATTACAGAAACCTTGCCTAATTTTAAAATTAATATCAAAAATTTGAACATTCCAGACAATATTAAATTGGCAGATCCTCATTTTTATAAGCCAGAGAGAGTTGATGTGCTTTTAGGAGCTGACTGTTTCTGGAACCTTATGTGTGTTGGACAAATCAAGTTAAATAATGGATTATTATTACAAAAGGGTAAATTAGGTTGGGTTATTGCAGGACGTATGCAGTCAAATCCTTGTACCACGACAATACGTAATTTTTCTAAAGCTAATGACATTGACAAGCAGCTCACTCGTTTCTGCGAATTAGAAGAGTTTCGACACTCCAAACCACTGTCAAACGAAGAAAAATTGTGTGAAGAAGAATTTGTAAGGACTTTCAAACGTGACAGTGAAGGACGCTTTGTAGTAACTATTCCTCTAAAACAAGGTCCTGAAGTCCTAGGCGATAAATACGATATAGCAAAACCAAGGTTTTTATCTCTAGAACGAAGATTTAAACGAGATCCTGAATTCAAGAAACGTTATATCAATTTTATTAACGAGTATAAAAATATGAAACATATGTCCAAGATAGAACATCCAGATAATGCAACTTTTAGTTATTACATGCCCCATCATGGCGTTATAAAAGAATCAAGTTTGACTACCAAGTTACGGGTAGTATTTGATGCTTCATGTCCAAGTAGTAGTGGATATTCTTTTAACGATTTGCAACTTGTTGGACCTACAATCCAGTCAGATTTATTCTCACTCCTGCTGCTATCAGACATTACAAACTATGTAATTGGTACTGATATAGAAAATGTATAGGATGTGTCAGATACAACAAAACCATTACAAAAGAATTTTTGTGGCGTGAAACACCTGATGAGCCACTCGAGAATTTTATGAATTAGACGCACAGTAACCTGCTGGCACATCTGCAGCGCCATATTTAGCCATTAGATGTTTATATCAGTTAGGGGTGGAAATAGAAAAAAACTAAATCCCCAATAGCAAATGTAATACAAAACCACTTTTATGTTGACGATTTGTTGAGTGGTGCTGATACAATTGAAGAGGCTATTAACATAGTAACAGAGATATCAAAGGTCCTTAATACAGCAGGTTTTCGTCTTCGTAAATGGATATCTAATAATAATACAATACTTCAATCACTGAAAGAAAGAAATGAAGCAGATACACTTGATCTAGGTGTAAACGAACTAACCAAAACATTAGGCGTGACGTGGAATGGAAAGGAAGACTGTTTTCTTTATAAGATTGGAAATAGTTTTAATAAACATATTACAAAACGAACTGTCTTGTCAGAAATAGCTCAGATTTTTGATCCAATGGGTTTACTAAGTCCATGTATAATTGTGGCTAAAATTATCCTAAGAGATATTTGGATAGAAAAACTTGACTGGGATGAATCTTTGTCACAACCCTTACATACGAGATGGCTAAACTTTAGAAACGAATTAAGTAATCTGAATAATATCAAAATTCCTAGACAGATAACGTGTAAACACGCAATCAACATTGAAATTCATGGATTCAGTGATGCATCGTCTTACGCATACGGAGCCTGCGTGTACTTAAGATCGCAAAATGAAGAAGGAAAAATACAAACAAGATTGATTTGTGCTAAATCAAAAATAGCTCCATTGAAGGTTCAGACGATTCCACGTTTGGAATTAATTGGTGCTTTACTGCTATCACGCCTAATAAAAAAAATATTAGAAGCAACCAAACTAGTACCAAGTAGAATAGTATATTGGTGTGATTCTACAATAGTTTTGGGTTGGCTTAATATGAGTCCAAATCAACTACAAGTGTTTGTAGCTAACCGAGTATCAGAACTTCAGACAATCACAAACGTAAGCGACTGGCGACATGTTCCATCCAGTCATAATCCAGCCGATTTGGTGTCACGTGGTGTAAGACCCAAAGAATTACCATTTTCTAATCTTTACTGGTTTGGTCCAGACTGGTTGAAATCAACTGAGGACATATGGCCGCATACTCTTGAAATCAATGTAGAGTTACCAGAATTACGTAAGGTTACATTGATGGAAACGGTATTTATCAGTGAACCAATAATCGACTTTAATAATTATTCTAATCTATCGCATTTGGAACGTGTTTTAGCATACTGTTTACGATTTATTACAAATTGTAAAGCTAAACAGGAGAAAGAAGCAAGGGAGCCTTAAAGCACACAGAAATTGCAAATGCTCATTTATATCTAGTAAGATTTGCTCAGCATGAATCATTTGCGGAAGAAATATTTCAGCTTCAACAAGGTGAAATTAAAAGAGGAAGATTATCCCATATTCAGCCATTCTTTGACAAGGACAAGATAATGCGAGTGGGTGGTAGATTAGGTAATGCAGATCTGGACTTCAACCGAAAATTCCCAATTATCTTAAGCTCGAAACATATATTTTCTGAATTACTATTTGATAGGGAACACCGGCGTTTATTACACTGCGGACCTCAACACCTTTTAGCATCAATTTGTCAATCATATTGGCCCCTAGGAGGACGTAATTTAGCAAGAAAAATATATCGAGAATGCGTTAAATGTTTTAGAACACACCCGAAATCAAGTGTTCCTCTAATGGGAAATTTACCAAAAAATAGAATTACACCTGCCCCAGCATTCTATAGAACAGGAGTAGATTATGCGGGGCCATTTTCAGTAAAGGACAGGCAAGGACGTGGCTGCAAGATTACAAAGGCTTACATTGCTTTATTTGTTTGTTTTGTGACTAAGGCCATACATATCGAACTTGTTTCTGATCTAACTAAGGAAGCATTTTTAGCATCATTTAAACGCTTTATTGCTCGACGTGGAAAACCGATTCAAATGTTTTCAGACAACGGCACAAATTTTGTGGGTGCTAATTTTGAAATGCAACGTTTATATAATTTCTTACAAGAAAATAATAAATCTTTGTCTGAACATATAGAAAATGAAGGAGTTAGCTGGTCTTTCATTCCATCTCGCTCACCTCACTTTGGAGGCTTATGGGAGGCAGGAATTAAATCTGTCAAATGTCATTTAAAGCGCGTAGCGGGTAATGCATTACTAACTTTTGAACAATTTTACACGCATTAGTTCAGATTGAGGCTGTTCTCAATTCTCGCCCTTTGAGCCCTTTATCCAACGAACCCTCAGATTTAACACCTCTTACTCCCTCTCACTTTTTAATCGGCCGACCATTAACGTCATTACCTGAACGAGATCTCGTAGAGATACCTGAAAACCGATTATCAACATATCAACGAATCCAGCAGCTACAACAACATTTTTGGTCCCGGTGGTCATTAGAATATATTTCCGAGCTCCAACAGCGGTCCAAATGGCAGCAAAAAGTGAACCCCATTAAGATTAATGACTTGGTGGTCATTAAAGAAGAAAACCAACCCCCTTTAAAATGGTCCTTAGGCAGAGTTATAGAAGTCCACCCAGGGAAAGATGGAACTGTTCGTGTAGCTACAGTGAAAACCAGCACAGGTACAATCAAACGTTCATGTGTGAAGCTGTGTCCTCTGCCAAATCAAGCAAAATAAGAAGTCACTTCAAGATACATTCCCTCCATCTATGTTTCGATGATGAAAGTGGATGTTGAAGGAAAATGTCGCTTTCAAGGTGGGGGAGTATGTCAGGATTACGGATCTGTGGCGGAATACATGTCTCTGGTGGAGAGTTGGTTGTGTTGCCAACTTCACGGCGAGCCACAGACACATTAATAGTTTAGATATTTATTGACATGTAACATTACTGTATCAATGCCCTCTATAAAAGATCCCTAGCCTACAGGCGGGCATTTACTTCATCAGCTGTACACTTAGATATTGGGTTAGATTCTGTATTCATATTGTCGGTTGATTTTGAGTATTATTTGTTATTGTAGTGCAAAAAACTAATTATTTTGGTGTTTAAGTGACATAAAGTACTACCAGATATATGGTCACTATGATGGTCACTCTGTTTCTCATAAAAAAACACGAAATATTACACGTTTTGTTAAGTGCTTTAACCTAAAAGTGCCCATAAATTTTTTATTTATCGTGATTTTTGTGTGTGTTTTTTAAGACTCTAACAATTCATCAATAAAGCTTAAGTGGAGTGTTTTTTGGTGCTATGCCTCATCTTTGTTATGTTCCTGGTGGAAAGGATAGTTATACTAGGCAGCTTAAAGTATTCAGAAGAGCAAGAAAAGTGGGTACGAGTTATAAATCAAGACAATTCTATTGAAAATATCTTTAATAAACTTAAAAATGATATTCTCCCAGGATGGTATTAAAGAAAACTGAACAATTATGTTAATTTTATTCTTATTGTGGAATCTCCACTCCAAGTGTTGTTGGTTCAACTTCGATAGATTCAAACACGTAAGTAGGTATTATGATCTAGGGAAAAATAAAGAATATGTGTATTAAAGATCATGAAAAAGATTATTATTTTGAGTTCAAAATTAAAAAAGATTTTTGTAAAGACAAGAATGATAAAGTTTAAAAGAAGAATGTGTTTTTGTTTGATAATTAATGTATGTAAAGCATAACATATATTTGTTCAGTAATTTTTACTGAATAGTGTTGATTATTTATAATACCAAATTAATATCAAATATTTAAGTGATGGCTGAATACAATATGAATAAAATAACAATAAAATTGGTATATTTGCAATACAAAATTAAGTTTTAAGAATAAAGGTGTTACTAAAAAATACTAAAAATTCCTTATTTCTTTGTTTTAATTGGTCGAATGTTATTTGCATTTAAATTATACCGTATCATCGAAAAAAATCGGCGTCTAGTTGGCTTGAAATGAACATCGATGACATTCCTAAATAATTGTACACATAAAATTTAACTAGAATTTTACAATCTTGGAAAATTTGATATTCTTGAACCTTATTTCTAGATATTCTAAATTTTTTGATTTTCTTGGGATTTAGGTTCGGGAAAAACGCTGATTAAGTTTTCATTATTATGTGGTGTGAATATTTCATATGTAATTTTTTGGATTATATTCGACACTATTTTTTTCATATGACACAACACTGATGAAGGCTATAGTTAGCCAAAACGTTTTTTTTTAAACCAAATAAAAATAATGAAAACCCAAATGAAAACTTAAATCGCGTTTTCCCGGAACCTAAAAATCCCAAATCAAAAATTTTACAGTAATTTTACATAAATACCAGCGATCTTCCATTTCACGCCTCGCCAGAAGCGCCCTTTTTTAGATGATATTGTATTATTTTGTAAATACCGTATGATCGAAAAAATGGCGTCAGTTAACTGAAATGACGATCGATATTTCTATAAATTTACATTTAAAATGACAGCGATCTTCATTTCCCAGCCAACTGGACGCCGTTTTCTCGATCATACGGTATAATTTTTTCGAACATTGATACTTACCAAAATATACTAATTTTGTGAATGAAATAATAATACATCACTATTAGTAGATATTGAATGTTTTTGTTAAATTAGATCGATTTCAAACCCCAAAATTTAAAATATATTTACATTTTACCAGTATCTTATGTAATACATTATTTGTATATTGTAAAACATTTGCTGCATTTGTATGGTTTATAGGATTTATTTGCCAAAGTATTTATTACTATAAATAGGTATATATGTTGTAGTTATTAACTGTATATTATGTATATTTCATGTGAACTATATAATTTTTAAAATACAAACCAAAAATCTGAGGAATAATTATGTT